CTTCTCCTGGAGATATCGACATTGTCCTATAATGCAGGTATTAAAAACCGAAATAATGGTATAACGCGTGCACGAACTCGGATGGACGATCGAAAAGCCGCCCCGTGGGCGGAGAAAATGACACGTACTTCGCTTGTTCCACTATTGGGAACCAGACGGACTTTAATTAAAACGCATCGTTTTTTAACCACGACACCAGATCCTGGGATCCGCATCCTGGATCAGTAGGGACACATTGATCCATGTGCAAATCGGGAGGGATGCTATCGGATCGTCATTTTAGAGCTGTTGATCCCTCACCAAGCAGATTTTCGAATTATGTACTTCACGTCCAGTCTAAATGACGACCCCAAAAAATAGTCCAAGTGTTTCGTGTTATCGGGCGATACCACTAGAAGCAAATTTAAATGCATTATCATTTGGAATGAAATCGCTATCGGCACCATTGAACGAATGGCAGTTGCCCTATCATCTCACAATTCCCTAGAGTATGATTTCCCGATTTTCCCGAGGGATTCCATCGATTTTATGTCGGCCCTCATCTGGCCAGTCGACGGATTCAAGGAGGAACAGATCAACCGTGTCACAAGACTGGTTTAATTAACACGTCTGGTTTTAACACCATAGAGATGGGGTGGAGGTGATAATACAGCGAGGAGGGATAATCATCGATGACAAGTGAATAGCTTTCATGAGCGATTATATCAGCGTCTATAGGTGTTAATATTACGAGAAAAGCCTTTTTAAGGAACACTATTCACACCAATGATGTCGTATCATCCAAATTTATAATGAATTTAATATACAAGTTCCACGATTTTTCAAGCTGGTTTAAAGACTCCCCTACAGAGTGTCATAAAATCCGAAACTAGTCCATGAATTTCCAAACATTGCACACTAATTTAAGCTGCCATATCGAATTTCTATTTGATACAAATAACCCGTAAGAAATAAGATAAGCTCTCGACCAGACCAGGAACAGACATTTTGGTATCGATATTTCTACCGGACGCGTTAATATCAGGTGGAAGGTCCCGAGGGGCATTAATCGCATTTACATCCCGGAGGAAACATGTATATCCAATCTGTTCGTAAGAATTCCATTATCATCTCATGAATAATAAAAAGAAAAATACTGGCGGGAGAGCCCCCTTCTTCGTGGCGATTTTATTCGTAAATGAAATCCTTTAGGACCTCGTTAAAATAAAATAAAAATCCGACAACGAGATCTGCCTTCTTTCCATTTTCAGGTCTTTTCCAGCCAGACCTCGGGCTCCAGGAAATTCGCCATTTTCCCGTTGTCGGATGGTAAATCGCGTCCTACATGCGTTACATCCCCGCATTGTCGCGACACCCCCTGGCAGCGCGATATATATATTATTCGAGCAACAAAACCGTGAAACTTTAATAAAACGAGAGATAGCGAGAATCCCGGAATCCTAGCGGCGCGATATGGGCGCAAAACGCGGCCGGGCGATTCGCGTATCACCGCTCCGGATATTTCCTGACGAGGGGGCGAAACTCCCCCGCCGGTCGTTCCCTATGCCCTCCATTGTCCCTCCCCGACAAACTTGACCCTTTGTTTCGACAAGTTTCCAAGGATAACGCGCGCATTATGTCGCAAGTTACGCACCCCGAGCAAGGGGGACGGGCCGGGATGTTATCACAGGGTGGAAACGTGTAATCAGTTAATATAGGTGCTCCCCTATCGGGACCGCCCCATTTGAGGATGCTTCCCCAAATTGCCCGATCGAAGTCCTGCTTGTAATTGTAATAATTACCACCTCCCCCGTGTAAGTACTCCCCCGTGCGGAGGGCTTTAAATCAAGATGGCGTCGCAGTAGAGGACCGTAATTCCTAATTAAATATCAACAAAGCGCTCGTTTTTATTTAATCAAGGTATAGTTTTCCAGGGACTAGATCGAGAATCGGTGATTGTCATAATTGCCGCCCACTGTGAAAATACTCCCTCAATTCTGGGGGTAGTAAAGTGAAACTAAAGATAGCAACATGCGGAGGGATATGACTCCGAATTGAATGTTGAAAAAAGGTGGGTTGTAATTGAATCGAAGTATCTTTTTCCAGGGGTTTCCCCCCCAAATTGCTCGGTCTATTTCTGTAATTGTGGAATTACTGCCCCTTGAATGAATACTTGTTCGGTACTGGGGATTTTTAAATAAGGTTAAATCATAATAGCGAGTTGCGGAGGAACGCAAGTCAAGATTAGAGGTTTATGAAGTGGTCGATATATTTGGGGGGTTGGCTTCGAGAGGGTGACAATATCAAGGGATCAGGTTTGGCATCAAGGGTGTGTAAATTATCGGGGAAATAAATGAATAAGATTTTAGGGGGCGTTTTTTTTTTCTGGCGGTAAATGAATTCCGATCGGAATTCGTGGGCGGAATATCGAATGCCGTTTCTTCTGAAGGACCTTCCGAGGGATGGAAGATCTCTGGTAGTAGGGCACACAATCCTGCGACCTGCGAAGAGGAGTTCAGGTGCTCGACGTGCAACGCAAGCACAACTGTCTCTTGGAAGCCTGGATTTGCAGTTGATGCGGCAATCTGCAGGGCTTGTTGGCGATAAAAGCCAACAATTCCCTCCCCTAAGTGGGACACGATTTCCTTACAAACGGCTTCGTTTGCGAGCCTCGGTGATCTTTCGCCTTGCACCCCGCTTTAGTATCGTCGCGTCGTCTATTTCTGTTACGGCGGAAAGAAATGAAACTTCCGAATCCTCGGGAAATTTCGTAGGAAATTTACGGTATATTGCATTTCCTCTCCGGATGAATTCTTTGAACTACCTACGGTCTAATAAATAAATCCCTCAACAATTTAAATAATTCCTCAATTTTTCACCGCGTCTCAAGGCCTAACCTTGCCTTGGGAAAATTTAGAAATCCTGGAGATTGAATATGAAAAGGCGCTGAAAATCCAATAGCTTGAGAAAGTTTGAATTTTTATCTTCGAAGCAGAATGCCTCTTAAATGTAATTAATCTGAATTAATGTGGTTCGGTTCTACATGGTCTTTCTTGAAGAGTCCTAAAGACACGCATACGAGGGATCCTCGCATAGGACCCTCTTCATAGAAGATCCTCTTGAACTCTAAAGAGGAGCCCAGGTGTTCGAAGTGCGACGTAAGCACAATTGTCCCTTGAAAGCTCGGATTTACAGTGGACGTTGCAAACTGCAGGGGTCGTCGGTGATAAAAGCCAAGAGTCTCATCCCTCGTTGATGTTCGACGATTTCCTTACAAACTGCTGAGTTCGCGACCATCGGCGTTCTTCCGCGTTTCGTTCCTCTTTGCGGTGTTCTGCGCCGAAAATCTACATTTCCTCCTAATGAGAAAAGTCACACATATGTATACTGCACCGTGAAAAAAAAAAACAAAAAAAAAACCAGTAATAAATTCATGATTCATGTACTGGAAGTTTCATTAACATGCGGTGCACCAAATTTATGCTGCATCCGTAGAGGATGCATGTACCTGCGTTTTTATTTCACAAGTTAATTCATCAAACTTCCGATAAGGTATAATATTCACACCTTATTAATTTCCAAAGATTTCGTGACGACTTTTAATCATGACGTAAAATGTTCAATATTAATACAGCTTTGTGCACATCAATTCTATGAAGTTGCCAAACATTTTCCCCTGAAATAATTAATCTGAAATAAAAATCAAAAAATCATAAGGGCAGTTCTTAACGGTTGCATAAAAAAGGGTAAAGGTAAAAACGGACCCCTTGCAAGGGGTTGCCGTTATTTATTCCGCATCGTTCCGCACCGTTTCGACATCGATCGGCCCCCAACGCAATAAGGTTCGCGAGGAATTCCGGAGACAAAGGGAACGCGGAACCCCGGCGATTCCGACATTTCTGAAATTTTCCATGGGACCGCTCGCAAGGGAACCGGAAGGAACTCTTGGCCTCCACGTCCGTCGGAATTCTGCGAGCCAGATCGGCTAATTAATGCGACGACATACCTGACATCCCGGCGCATCCCCGGGATCGTATGTTCCTGGGACGCGGGTAACCGCCTCCATATTTATGTGACGTAACGACATATCCCGGGGAAATCTCTATTAATTTTGGGAGGCCATTTCTTCCCTCCGGCAACGCATCGAAAATGCCGCAAGAAAGAAATATACTCGGACGAACTTTTGCTTTTCAATGACACTCATAATTCCGTAGACAATTATGCGCCATTAAAAAAGATAACACATTTTAATCATTAGGAAAAAACATGGCAAGCATTCAGACTCCATTACCGGGGAATTGCAATTCTTAAGGAGAAGGTCCGATTAACCTATTATCGCATTTATGTCTACTTATGATGGATTGTATTTTCTCCCTCTGTTTTTGTCATTCCTTTGGATAAGTTAATTCTTTACTTAACGGGTAGACAGGGTGTTCAAGCTCGTAACTTTTGGGTATTAAGTTTTAAGGACATTCCTGATTCAGGAGCTGAATCGGGGGCACCTGCAGGATATCCTCCTGGAATGGGTGATTCCTCGGCAGTGACATAAAATGCATTTATCGGGTTATCACCGGCGGTTCATCCTCCCGACAGGGGTCCTATCCTGGCCGGGCATTTAATCCTTGAGAAAGGACTTCCGGACTTCCGGCCGAGACGGCGTTTTCGCGAGGGCCTCGCGGCCAAAGCTCGGAGGAAAATGGGGACTCTGGGAAACCGTTTAACGTGAATGCACTATTTCCATTTCCATTGTGTCGGTTCGAGGGTCCGGATAACTTTTAGCCAGCCCTCTCGAGACGAAGTATCGTCGAAAAGCCCGCGAAAATCTCGCGAAAAGCCGCAAAAAGCCACCCCCTCGCTTGCTAACTGCCCGATAAGTTCCCCGGCAAATTGGACCCCCCAGGGAGCTCGAATTCCCGAAAAGAAGAGAGCGTTATCGCGGACCCGTAATCGGGAATTATTTACCTCGCGAGATTTCCCTATCACTCCCATTGATCGCTGTCGAATTTGATTTTCTGTTGCAGTCGTTTGCGGAGTCGGTGCTGACGTGGCGTACCGCGGACACGTAATGGGTGTTTACGTCACGTGAGGATAATTCAACATGCGTATGACCGTAATTCAATTCACGCACTACATCGAGATACAGATAAAAGAAGCCCTTCCTCGGACACGAGTTCGATGGGCGGGCAAAAGCTCCTCTTCGAGATTATTTTACATTTCATTTCCTGGTTACACTTAGTACACAGCTTTAGAGCCGAATTAATTGGATTTACCTGAATTCTAATCCCGAAATTTGCATAATAAAAATGTACACTAGGTGAATAGAGTCTGCATCGTCGTCGAATACATCGTGATCAAATCTCGAGTCGAACTTCGGATGTTTATTCATTTGAAGTCGTTGAAAGTAATGATAAAATTCCGGGAAATTTTCTCTGTCCATTCTCGGAAGAAAAATATTTGTTTAGGGAGTGGTCCGACCTTCCAGGGTTTGTGTATAATCATTTCGAGCCTGCCGCCTGGCTTTTCGGGAAGTTTACGACGGCGGTGACGTTTAATGCGAGACGCAAGGTGTCGATATCGGTTTTACGGCTCCAACTCGGCTTCTCACCCAAGACGTAGACCGTATAGAGTTCCCCAAGTTCTCTCTCGTTCCCGCATACCATCCTCATGGATGAGGAAACTTGCGGGGAATTATGCCCGCGGTTTCACTATTTTCGCAAGTGCGAAGCCGGCATGTTCGCACGTGCCTGCCTCTAAATTCTAGGGGCCATATTCATGCGCATCCAAAAACATGAACGCATAAATGCGCCCAAGTGTTGGGGCAAACATTTACATGCACCGAGGAATACCGACGAGCGAGGCGGCGGCTTCTCTTCGAATGTTTAACCCGGCCCCGGAATTATTTAAATAAATGGAAAATTATTTACCCCTGAATATTCGATAACCATTTACGACGCCAATTACGGGCCAGGTAACTCTCGGGATAATTCCCTAAATAAAAGATTTATTTTTACCCCGTGCGGTGGGTTACCTCGCCTTCTCGCAAAACGCTCCGCAAATATGGCCGCCACTTTTCGATATTAATTCCGCGGGCTGTCGTCAAACACCGACACAAGCGGCTCCTCCGCTTGTCCACGGGACATCAAATGTAACGACACACCCCCGCATGCGCACCTGTCAAATGTCACGTTTAACCGAGAACATATTCAGAAGGAGAATCCGCAATAATTTCCGCATTTATCCGCAGCCTGTCGTTTCATCCCCGTGAAAAATCCCGCAGAATTCCACGCTCACTTCTGCCTGTACCATTACAACGCACAATTTATCTCTGCACGTGCACCTTCCGCAGAAATTAATTTCTAATTAATGTGTAAAACATTTTCTCCATTTAGCCTAGACTAGAACAAAAATCACTTTTTCTTATTTTTTTTTTTTTTTCTGAGAAATGAAATTTCACGAGCATCGCGTTTTTCCTTAGGATCACCATAATCGCATGTTAATGTTTCAAATGATTCGGTGCACTCAGTTTGGAGAAAAGTTTTATCAATATTTTTACGAACAACCCTTTCGTATCACCTGAATAATTTGATTTTCAGCAGCGAAAGATTGAATGGAAAAATTCGTGCGCCGAAGAGAGGGAAAATAGAGTAATGTTAAATCCCTTAACGGCGAGGGATATAAATTTGTCAGGGTGTTCCGTCAATTAGCAGGGCCCCGTTGACCACACGGGTGGATCGATCGGAACACAATTTCCAATTAGTTAAAACGGACTTTAGCCGGCCCCGACGAAATTGTCCCTTTAATCGGGGAGCTTTTTTTTTTCCGCCGGCGCAATCCGATTGGCCAGAGTCAATTTCCGTCGGCTTGGCAGAGGCCGGCAATTGCGGCGCGACAGAAATTAGCTTCCCTCCAGCATTAAGGCGAGATCGAATTACGAGCAGTCGACTACCCTGGCACTTCTGGGTCTCGGGTTTGCCAGGATTCGCCGAACTCTGCAGGCCGCAGGACGAGGCCAGGAAGAGGAAGAGGGACCTCGACCTTCTCCTTTTCCCCTCTCCTCCTCTCCCCGTCATAACCAGAGTTTCTTCGACTTCTTTTCAGGGCGTCCTCTGCGGTGATTCTCTTCCTGGAGGTAACTTGGGCAGTCACCCTCTTCGTCCAGGTCTGCGTAAGGTACGTCGAAACTTGGCTCCTCTTACCCTCTTATGAACAAAGTGTAATTATCCCCCTCTAAAAAGAATTAATATACCGCACTGAGAAGAAGAATGACTAAAAAGGATTCCTTTTCTTTCAGGGAAATTATTTCTTCGAATGGAGTTAAAGAAATGAGACCTGGTTTCGATTTCTTACTTTGTTATTTTAAGTTCTTCGACGACATTTAAAGAAATAGTTCCCTTGAGAGAGAACATTTTTTTCCTCGGTGCTGCGAATGAATGCGGCAGTTAAACAGAAATCGGTTTCGTAATTAGTTGAAAAGAAATTAATTAAAGTGTAAATAATTCCTCGGTAGGAAATTAATTTCTTAGTGGGAATGCGGTGATTAGTTCTTACTTATGGATGCCTGGGTTCTTACGTTATGTGCGCAGAATGTTGTCATGTGACGACAAGTCGGAGTATGTAGTAACTTGATAAGGGAAACCCGGCACCATTTGCGAAGGTCAGGGCAGGACCCTTCAAACTTTGCCCACGTCCTTATTACTCCAATTTCCTGACACGTGGGAATTACGGGGAAGCCGGGCAATGCCCGAAGGAGCGTCTCCCCTAAAGCTTCCGAAAAGCTCGACACTTGGACGAGAACTCGAAAGTTTAATCGTCGTCCACTTGAACCTTGCTCGATCCCTTCCAAATCGAACTTGCTCCTTTTCGGACGGAAAGGAGAACAAAGGACGACCGGTAAGTGGTCAGACGAAGGACTATCCTGCGACTCCACCATTTCTCGCTCCTCGTTTCCTCGGCCTTTGCTCTTCGCCTCTTCGGCCTTTACTTCAGCTTTTATTTCAGCCTTTACTTCGGCCCGAGGTCCTCGAAACGATCCGACTCTTGCAATGAACATTACCAGGGGACCTGGAACAAATTTAAAACTTCTATTCCTCTTCCTATAAACCAGATTTTCCTCGCCATCCCGAGGCGTCATCCTCTTAAGGGCGAGGAGGTATTCACTCAGGAGATCATGGATTTTAAAGCTCAAAATCCTGTAAAAATCAACTCATCTTCAGGGCGAGGGGCTATTCACTCAGGAAATCATGGATATTTAACGCTCGAACTCATCTGGAAATCGTTAGAAACCACCGAAATTACAATTGTAAAACCGAGCGTCACTTGTTACCGAATCGCATTATTGTCTATCATACAAAATCAACGGCAATCGGTTCTTAAAGAAGGAAATCATTTCCCCTGATTTCCGAGTGAAGAGTCCCTCGCAACATCCTCTTCAAGGTGCGAGGCGATTTTCCAGGGTATCTAAATTTTCAAAAATGCATGGCTCCTCCCTTTCGAGCCATCCTGAAACTTCCTGGTCCTCTCTTTTACAAAGGATGAAACTTTTTACCGAATCGCATTGTTGTCTATCATACAAAATCAACGGCAATCGGTTCTTAAAGAAGGAAATCATTTCCCCTGATTTCCGAGTGAAGAGTCCCTCGCGACATCCTCTTCAAGGTGCGAGGCGATTTTCCAGGGTATCTAAATTTTCAAAAATTCATGGCTCCTCCCTTTCGAGCCATCCTGAAACTTCCTGGTCCTCTCTTTTACAAAGGATGAAACTTTTTACCGAATCGCATTGTTGTCTATCATACAAAATCAACGGCAATCGGTTCTTAAAGAAGGAAATCATTTCCCCTGATTTCCGAGTGAAGAGTCCCTCGCGACATCCTCTTCAAGGTGCGAGGCGATTTTCCAGGGTATCTAAATTTTCAAAAATTCATGGCTCCTCCCTTTCGAGCCATCCTGAAACTTCCTGGTCCTCTCTTTTACAAAGGATGAAACTTTTTACCGAATCGCATTGTTGTCTATCATACAAAATCAACGGCAATCGGTTCTTAAAGAAGGAAATCGTTTTCCCTGATTTCCGAGTGAATAGTCCCTCGCGACATCCTCTTCAAGGTGCGAGGCGAATTTCCAGAGTATCTAAATTTTCAAAAATTCATGGCTCCTCCCTTTCGAGCCATCCTGAAACTTCCTGGTCCTCTCTTTTACAAAGGATGAAACTTTTTACCGAATCGCATTGTTGTCTATCATACAAAATCAACGGCAATCGGTTCTTAAAGAAGAAAATCGTTTTCCCTGATTTCCGAGTGAAGAGTCCCTCGCGACATCCTCTTCAAGGTGCGAGGCGATTTTCCAGGGTATCTAAATTTTCAAAAATTCATGGCTCCCCCCTATCGAGCCATCTTGAAACATTCTGGTCCTCGCTTTTCTACAGGATGAAAAGTTCTCGTTTAATTTCTTTTTAGTCCTTGGTATCGAAACTTGGGGAACGGCTCTTCGGGGCCGCCCAAAAAGCTGCAGTGAGTTGGCTTTGTTTCAGGAACGACGACTCTCTTTGTTGGCGCTGCTGGTCGAGCGTACTTGTCGTAACGAGAGGCTGGCGACGGGCGTTGTTTTATCTGCCCCTGTCATGCATTTTGGCATGGAAATCTCACAGATTGTGGTTATCCTTCGTGGCCGGTAAGAGTTACGCCCGTAAAAAAATCCATACATGCGGCGAACGTGCAGGTGGCTCGTTCGCGACCGTTTCAACGAGCAAGGATGCAGATGTGACTTTTTCTCGTTGCAGCCGGAATGCTGGTGGTTTTGTCCTTGCTGCACATTGGAATTAATGCTCTTGGACGTAGGGGATGTCACCAGCCAGGAGGAGTGGATTCGGTCGTCGACAGTTTATTGAACACGAGGCCGGAAACCTACGACCGCTTCGAAGAGGTCCTGGTAAGAATGATCCTTTTTACGTTAATTCATTCAACGAGTCGATTAAGTAACGGAATAAATTTATTACTCGTTCTTTATGTATCGCCAACTGAATTTGATTTCCCTCTTCACTCTTAGATATATGATTTGCATGACGGACCAAAAAGTCCAACCGCGAAGATATCATCAGCGGTGAAAACGATGAACTGCATATTGAATACTTTAGTAGCTGTTCGTTATCCGGCCGCAAACGTAATCGAGAGCATGCAAGTGAATATTTCAGCGGATCTAAATTTAAATTGCTCAAACCTCTGCGAGTCACCGAATTAATCGTGGCTCGTGAGCATTTGCAAATCATAGATTAATAAACATCATGCAGTATACATTAGGTCGTCCGGAACGTTGTCGCGGTGTTCGCTGCTTAAGATAGTACACGATTCGACGGTACAAAAAGACGGTTTAATTTATAATATTCATGACTTATAAATCGAGGGGTCGCTTTTATAATTAATTTTTCCTCCTCAGGTGACGGAAGTCCTTGATGACGGCGTGTCGGGTCCAGCTGGACGATTGCCTGACAGCGATGGAGAAATTTGACACGAACGTCAGCCCTCCTGGGCCAGTGAGACGGACGAAGACAGCGAAACGGAGCAGAGGACCTGCCAAATCGCGACCGTGTCCTAGTCCTTGGACCTCGGGCAGGATCTTACGTCCTGCATCTACCCGACTCGGTTAATGTACACGGGTCCTTCACAAGATTAGGGTCATACCCGAGCAGCATGACGAGCACCGAGGACGCCAAAGCGTCTTACTCGTGATTTCACGCACGAGTCGATCGATCAGCTGATCGTCCCCTAAGGCGCAGTTTTTTGATAAGTGCGTTTGCCAAGACGGCGCGCATCAAAGGATCCTCGGTAAATCCTGGACAAAGGATCCTGCTCGTCCGAGCAGGCGGACCTTACAAAGTGTCAAGAGTGACCGAGAGATTCGGCTCCGGAAATTCATTTGTATAAATTGAAGCTAATGTGGGGGAGATATTTTGGAAACGATGCCGATGGAAAAAAATTGTACGGGTTTCGGGATCGTACTTAGCGGGTACCCCGCGCAAAAAATGTTCCGCACTTCGCGTCGGTGGACATTTAGATTTCCGCCGATCCCGTGAATTGTCATGAATTATTTCGTACGTTGTAATTAATTATGGATAATATTCGTGGAGGTGTCTCGCGGATTAGGGTGGTCGATGTAAATTGTCGGAAATATTAGTGCACGTTAGATGGAGAGGATGTCCCGAGTAAAGGAACTCCGGATATTTAGGAAGATGTCTACGTTTTTCTATCAGGGAATCTGTGTTAAAGGAGAAATGGCTTAGGAGATTGAACTTGCTGATATAGGGTGTAAGAAAGCAATTCTTAGCCAGTCCTTGGTCGTGCAGAAATCGACTATGAAGAAATATTGTGCCAAACTCGAGAGAAATGATAGTTTTGCCGCAAGAGGAAGGTATCTTATATTATTAACTAAGGAGGCAATTTTATACGTAATGGTGTCTATTAATACTCTTAATTACAGATACATACATATAATACAAGTCACCTATCAAAGTTGTATTACGACAAATAGCTATTAAGTTATCGTACTTTTGTTGTACGCACATTATGGTTAATAATAAAATTACGAGAAAGCCGAATGTCCTGCGGCTCAGCAATAAGCCTATCAAAAGTACCGTTGATATCAGCGATAGCGAGAAACAAAATACATGCCGTAAAAATTATCCAGAATACTCGATCACACCGTCTCATGACAACGTATGAACACCGTTTCGCTGTTTTTTTGCAGTCTTCTCGTAAGATCAAAACGCTAATACAATAATCTGGAATATTAACTCCACCTGACCAATGAAGTACCACGAAGTACAACAGTTTGACACATCGCGTAAGTATGTACGGAAGGTGGAAAACGCTGAACCAATTTGACTCCAATCGATAGAAATTCAAACCTTCACCTATTTTAAGTTCTACCTGCACTCTAAAGTGCGGCAACAACGCTTATGCGAATGTCAATGACAGGACAATTATCACAATAAATACCGTGTCAAATACAGCCTGTTAGACCATAGTTACAGTTTTGAGGATACGAACCGTGCGCAATGCACTATAGTATAATTTAGATATAAGGTCCTTGAGCAAATAATCTAACTAATCGAAGTATTAATCCATTCGTTCATGTCTACACGACGGCAGAGGTCGAGACGAGGGCTGTGTCTCGATATCCTTGGTTTTCTTCCACGCCAGAAGCTCATCCAAGACGTCCATCAATAATGGATTGCCTCCAAGTCTTTCCACCTCGTCTCTCGCCTTTTTATCCAGCTCCTTCAACACTTTCCTGGTGTAGGAAAAGGAGCCGAACTTCTCCAAGAGGTTTACGCAGTACCCCTTCACGTCAACGTCTTTCGTTCGTTGCCTCAGAATGTCTTCGGTTAAAAGCCTCAAGTAAAGGAAAAAGTAGACTTAAAAAATAGAAAATCGAAATAACGTCACATTCACATTCAAAGGATACTCATAATTTGCCTGTCCTCTGGATGGCTCCAAATCGCGTGAATAATAGGAAAGCTGAATTTCCCTTCCGAGAGGTCTTCGCAGTAACTCTTATGCTCCGAGTACTATTATAATGAAAAAATCATGTTAAGGTCGCGGTGCTCTTTTACTCCGGCCAAATGCACTTGAATGTTTGTGCCTTTCGACGGAAAATTCAAGAATTCCGATCAATGACATTTTACGAAACACGTCTAAAACCGAATTACATTACCTCCTGCAAAGAGAGATTGCAGTAGTCGTCCCGAATTTGGAAGTACAGTCCTAAGATTCCTGCCAACTGTGAGAAATCCTCTTTGCAGTCGGAGAACAGTTGCATCAGTCGGACTGCCAGGTTGAATAGTCCACCAGTCTCTGAAGTTATTAATAAGTTAAACATGACATAAGAAAATATGGTAGTTCCGATGAAGGGACAGGAAAAAGAAACTGACTTCTGGTGGTCATTTGCCTGTACTCCGACTCAGATGGGCAGATATAGTTGTCTCTCCAATAGATCTCCATACCCTGCCCTCTGTGAAGCTCCAGCAATTGTTCCGTGTACACTTGAGTCGCCTGTATAAAGGCAGAGACGCGCTCGATACTTCTCGTCACGATTTTCTATAAAAATACCGACCTCCGGATGATTTAGAGATATGACTCTCTCGAGTGAAATAAACAGAACGTAGTTGGCTGCATTAATGGTGCTGGCGACCCCGTAGATCGAATGCGCCACGGGTATTCCTCTTCGAAGTATGGAATTGTCCTGAATATCGTCGACACTGTAGAAAAGTAAGACAAGTTTAGCGGATTGCCCTTGAGTACAAGAGACACGTGAAAATACTATACATAGCCTGCTTGACATTCGGTGGGGCGTCGAACTCGTTAAGAAACTCGACTTTGATAAACTGATTACACGACTGACACCCCGCAATAAAATACGGCATTTTCTCGACCGCCTTCCATTCTCTACAAACATAAGGTAATTTAGAGAAACAAGACTGTGTTTCATCGAAACTAATGACCGCGAACGTCGAAGTAGCTAAATTTAAATTAAATTGAAAAATCCATATTTGTAGTAGTCGTTGCGATAAGCAACCGTGGTCACTATCAAAGAATGGATTGCTATTTTAAATTCCAAACGTGAGCCGTCCGAGTGTCTCTTAATTTCCCGAAGACACCAAATTACTCCAAAACAACACAGTAGAGACTTGTACAAAATTCAAGGACTTGTCAGAGAAGTGTTTTGATTGTAATTCACAGAAATATTCTATCGAGTATCCTTAAAGCGTTTCCTTAAGTTTCGTCGGAATTCAAGAATTGAAAAGTAAATACCCACAGCAAGCTAGAATTGTGGAGCATCTGGGTTATATCGCCGACCGCGTGGAGCTTATCGTCAGGTATTTTTAGCCAATAATTGAAAGCATGTGCCAATTTCGTGCGGATCTGCTTTCCTGGAACCTGCAGGATGTAGGTGAAGGGCTGGAGCAGGATCTGAAATGGCAAAAGCGTTAAATTAAAAAACAATCGTTTACAGCTTACATTTACCGACGCTATGATTCCCCCGAGTTTTTTCTAAGGTCATACAAAACTTAAAAAGCCTCACGCCTATACATCTAAACCCAAGAGGTAATTCAATAACTTACGCAATGTTTATTTATCATATTTCATAAAACATAAAGCGGCAACCACTCGATCGCATAACATGCCGTAGGTCGTAGGCACATTTCCATATTTTATGCATACAGAAAATAATTGATAATACCGGGAAAAAACAAGTGAAATAAAATTAATTTGCCAATTATTTTGGTCGCTCATGTAAAACCTCATTTCGCGGTTATTAATCCCAGTAATCGAAACCGCAAATTCAGAAAAAAAAAAGTCTAGTCCGCAGAAAGGAATTTCATGCGTGAAATTGGTTGCAGTTAAATTGATAAAAAAAAATTGCTTCGTGCACATTAATGTGCAGAGTCGTCAGAAATATTTTCAATGCCAAGTGAAGCCACTCGCGGTTTTCGACGAGCAATTTTTAAAAAGAAATCAAGGAAAAGTAGCGCTCAGCTTATCATACACATAAATGCGTAAATAGCAAACTTGAGAAATGTGAATATAAGTAATAATGTGTATAAGTTGAATCGCCTTTAAATGACGCAATTTTTTTTCACCACGTGGACAATCTCGCCAAATTCTCGAGATGATTAAGTCACGTTCAATTGATAACATACAATAAATTGCCCCGTGCAGGCGAAGCGTTAAAATCTAAAGAAAACTCAACCTCTGATAGAATGATTAAAACTTTTTTTCTCCTCGACCAGCCAGTAATAAGACTCCATTTTTAAAAACCTCAAGCATAGATTATACGAAACTTCTCATAACAGAAAAATCCATTATTGGTAATTAACAGATAAACACATATAGGCGAGATTGGTATCTATTGATTACGCCATTTAATCAGTGTTAATTGTTACAGATCGATATTTCTCGATCTGAAGGACCATCGAGATAAGATCCATCTATCGCTCCGCTTTGACATCGCATGTGCGGTAAATACATACATGTCTGCATACACAGCGAGTCGATCAGCACGAGCCGTTTGACAGGTAGTCAACCTAACCTCCAAAGTGACTAAAACGAGTTGCGATAAGGCTACTCCGTGGACATATCAGGGAGGTAAAAATATATTCGATGAATTTTAACGAATCGGATAAGTTTTGGCGGTTTCTGCAGTCGGTGGTTAAAATATCCTAACCTAACTAACCTCGTCTTGCTCCTTGTCTCCGCTCTTCGAGTAGGGCACGCCGTTCTTCACCGAGTCCATAACTCGTCCTCTGACGGACAACTCGGTACTGTCAGTTAAAATGTACTCAGTGGCAGTGTCATAAGACGACTACCTATAAAACTAGACTATTCGAGGACCTTATATGCAGAAAGTCAAAACCTCCACTCCACACATGCACGACGCGGTCGGCCATCGATCGCGCCATGCGTCGTCTGCCCCGGGAAGTTTCGCGCGGAATCCTGCAGATGGCGCGTCGAGCGAAGGGCGCGCGAATTTGAATTTTCACTTTCATCCATCAGATGTAAGAACTTATAATATATGCTCGAAATGCACGCATGAGATGAAACAATTTGTTCTAAGTCAAGTTTTCGCTGCAATTCGGCTAGATATACATAAGAACTAAACTGAGATTTTATTCTGTTTTAATACACGGCTTGAAGTGACAATTTCAGTTATTGCTAAACACTCCGTTGCGAAACCCCGCATGGCTGAACATTCCTATCGAAGGTAAATAAACACTGAAGATAATAGTCGGTGAGAGATCTCAGAACTCGAGTCAGGTATTTACCGAGTTATACCACGTAATCGAGATGATTTATTTACAGATCCGCAGCTGCACCTTAAAAAGTTACATGAGAGTAGCGAGACGCATGAAAAATGACCATTATACACCTGCAACATTGCGTGGAGACAATGAATTGATATGTAGGTTCCCAGGAATTTTCAATCGAGGACGAACACGTCCCACATCAAGCGCAGAGAAGCAAAACGTAGAACGTAACGCTATTTATTGCAGCAATCATAATTACATAATAACTTAATATCGAAACTGACATAATACAATATATACATCTCATGTGGAGCGTGAGTAAGTCTAGGAGATTATAATTGTCTTTGTTCATAGCTTACCCCGATTTTAATGGAGGTACGAATTTTTTAGCTTAAGATCTCGATCCAGTTCTAAAGCGACGCATCGATACTTTGTCATCTGGAAAACATGCTCGTTAAATATTCTCATCATGTTACTGCGCTTATGAAGGTTACTTCGAAAGTCTTTGACTAGTCCGCAAACTTATCATTTCTCACGTGACAAAGTCAACGCGAAGACGTGACCTGTCGTGAAGGTATCGATCATACTGGACGGTTTCGATGAAAAGGATCATACCGATCCACGGACAGAGATTACGATTAATATTAATCCTGAAAAGTATCACCGCAAAATTACACGAACGTGAATTGGAAGCTTCCTCAAATGCGAAATGTACAAAAGTCTTTCACCCGTCTTCTCTCCATACACGTGCATGTTTTATGTACATAAGGGATTACATTGGGATTACATTATCGATTCAAATTGCCTGCAACCAGCAAGTGAATTTGATCTCTCTTATTCTCTATCTCTGACAATCTCAATGCAACAATGACGATAAAAGATGGACCGAACGTAGAGAGTTCCTTAAACAAATTTTGCTCCTTTTTGTTGGTTCAGTCTAAACATATGATATTCCAAGGTTTAATATGCCTCAAAATTCGCGCTACCGTTTGCAGCATGGAACTGCATATGGGAATATGGAAAATTCCAGAGTTAAAGTAGGAATAACAAAACTTGTTCAGGGAACTTTTCAAAATCCGGCCACGGCGATAGCAGTAGATGTAGATCGCTCAGTTTCAGGTACTGTCCTATTCCGAGAGTCTCTCAACGAATTTCACAACTTTTCACCGCTGAGGTTGAGGACGTTGTAGTACGAGTGATCTGGAAACCTGTCCAGTTCGATGTAATCAGTCTCGTCCATAAGAAGTGCCTCCGACAGACTGACCAATTCTGCAAAGGAAGGTCTGCTTGCTGGATCTTGGTCCCAACAATAGTACATGATGTTGTAAAGTTCCCTTTTACAATGCTCAGGCCTGTCGAGCCGATAGCCGTCTTTGATCCTTCTCATCACCTAAAAACATTACACCGTGGCGTTTCAAAATAATATCCCCGCTTCTTTTCAAGCACTTCTTTTCGCAGGGAAATTAATGAATCCGGGCGAGATAGGAAAGTTGGATTGAAAAAGGAAAAAATGAAGAGACTGTGATTTATTACCTCGGCTGCAGCTAGGCCAGGATAAGGCGTCGAGCCAAGGGTGACAATTTCCCACGTGAGAATCCCGAAGCTCCAGATATCAGACTTCACGGAGAAAATATTGTCATATAAGCTCTCCGGAGCCATCCACCTGATCGGCAGACGACCTTCGGATTTCCTTTCGTAAATCTGATTGGCCGCCACGTCCCTGGCGAAGCCAAAGTCTGCGACTTTGCACACTCTATTCTCGTCTATGAGAATATTCCGAGCTGCGAGATCTCTGTGGATGATGCCCTTCGATGCGAGAAACTCCATGCCTTTAGCAACCTGTTTCAGAAGGCAACGGTATCAAGATTCAGTAACTTAATCCTTGGTCATTTGAATCGCTTAAAGGACACTTCGCCGAAGTCTGGATAAACTTTCCACCGGTAAGATACTGCCAGCCAATTCGATCAAAAACCCTCTCCTTTAAAAAAATGCTCTCTCCAAATTTCAGTGAGGTGTCTCTGATGAATATTTCAGATGACGAAGTCTCTATGCATATTTTACATCGTTTAGAGGTACTTATCTCACATTTGGCCAGAATCTCACCTGGTACACAAAGCTGGTCAGGGTTCGAGAGTTCAGTCCAGGCCCACCACGGTTCCTTTCTTCTCTGGAAGCTCTCAGGAAGCTCTGCAGTTTTCCACCGCTGACGTACTCGAGAATGACGAAGATGGGCTCGCGTTCGCTGCAACAGCCCAACAACCTGACGACGTTAGGATGTGGTTCCAAGGTTTTCAGTACTCGAAGTTCCTGAGCCAAGTCGACTCTCTCCCTCTCCGTAGCGTTTTCCTTCAAGGTCTTGATCGCCACTATGGTTGGCCCTGGTCGGCCATCGATGTCCATAGCTTCGCACTTCCATACTTGGCCGAAGCAGCCCTCCCCCAGAATATTGAAGACCTAAAGACAGACCCGTGAAAAATATTGGTGAGCGACCCTCGGCAGTCAGTTACCTTAATTTATTCGCACGTTACAATCGCAAACCTTGAGTCTGTGTCTGGGGTACTCCCACTTGTCCTCGCTCGACTTGTTCTGGACACTGGCCTCATTTTCCTTCTCCCAACCGCTGTACCGGTTGGCATGACCTTTCAGGTTTCGGCTTCTTTTCAACACCAGAGACGGATCGTCGGACAAGTTCGAAACGCTTACGGAAACCTGCTCCTTCTGCCGTCAAAAGTAAAAAGTCGGAATTAATATGCGCCGATGCAACGACCTTCGGATTTTACTGCAGTCAATTGGAGGTGCGCAGGAAGAAACGATACCTTGCCCTGCAACGCATAACCGCATGCATATAATCTGCATCGTGCTAGTCCAGCAAACTGACAAAAAGTTTATTAGACCAGTAAGATATAAAGATTATATTTAGAGCGTAAGCGATTGGTGGCAAAATTTAAGCTCGCTCGTTGGCTTCCTGCGGAAAATTTCCTTTTGACTAAGACCACCTCGAAGTGATTTTCTATGTATTCACCGTATGCTCCTTGGTTTTCCGGTGTCCGCAGAATTTATTTCGGAGAGACCACACACCCATGGCCGAGCCTAGGACCAGAGCACACACGGCAGCTACAGGAACCAATATCATGGCGACATCCTGAGACGGAGGTGCCGTAGGAGCCACTTTGGAACTGAGTGGAGGTCCCCCGATTTCGTTATCCGCGGTTTCCTCGGGGTTTACTTCCGTAGAAGTTGCCGAGTTAAGATCTCCCTCTTTGTCTCTTTCAGGTTGAAGCTTCGTGGTCTTCTGTCTCGAGTCAGAAGGGGAAGACGGAGGCGGTTCCGGAGCAGGTGGACGTGGATAACTCTGCAGATTCGGGAGACCCAGAAGAGGTGGACGAATGCGACCTCCGGACCCATGCTGGTTCGGAAACGGCGACCTGGGGAAAAACATATCTATATTGACCACGTAGGGTACTCTCTATGCGACATGGGGAACCATCTTTCGCGTCAAACTGGGTATGAATCATGAATTATGAACGGGAGCGATTCGCCGTGGCTGACAACCCACCCGACCTAAGAATTTACAATTCCAGTCTATATACAAAAATGATTCGATGTTCACTCCCTGACGATCCCGAGAAGGACTCAATTATAAAGGCACAATCTACTCAACCAAGGATGAAACATTGGTTCCTATGCAAAATGACGTTACGAGAGTACACCGAGCGCACCCAGGATCCGCAATGTCATTGCAACGACGTTGATAAATGATAGCCCCCTGATGGGCGCAATGCAATTTGGAGCCAATTGTAAGTACAATCTTGAAACGATATGTCTGCAGAGTGCAACTAATCGGGAACTTTGCGGGGTTCCTGCGATGTGCATTGTTCCGGTGAACGGTGCTCGGTGTTTTCCCAGATGGAGGGAAGGGTTCCTCGTCGTTGGGACTTAATTGTTCGAAGAGGAGACCCAGAAGCCGGAGACCCATCCAAGGTGTCGGCGTTACTTCTGGGTGGATGCGGGGAAAAAGTACCTGGTGTGGCCTCCATTGGGACGAGAGGTGTTCTTGATGTTGACGTACACCTCGTTCTTCGCCGTGAGTTGACCGTCGGAGACGGTCACGTAGAGGAACAGGTTCTGCCCTCCCTGGAAACAAGCGGCAAGAACCCTCAGGGTTAATGGTAAGTCGGCCTGAACGACCGGTCGCATTACGTGTATGTTTCAGAAACAACGGAGAACGCTTCATTTCCGAAGGGAGCCATTTTGCTGGACCCGACTCGTTGCCCGATTTCCGGGGAACAAGAATGCCAGTAAATTCACTGCCTTCCGGAAAATGATCAGTTCAGGTAGAAACACGAACTTCCATATTTCTCAGGCTACGCAGTAAATATGAAGTACCATTTAATTCGCCCATACATTCATACATGCCTACAAACCTCCCAACCGGCATGTTTTTTTATTAAGTACTTCATATGGCGAAGTAAATGCTACGTGCTTTCCTGTACACGACTTTGCAATACGACCTGACTTTCATACATTATATAAGTTCCGATATTGATAACAGAGGGTGATATTAACTTCCTAGACGGAACAGAATTCGTTATGCAACCTGACTTTCATACATAAATGCATTGAACCGTTTCACTCTTGTTCCTTCTATAAAATATCTTCCATATTTTATTAACGTTTTCCTGATTTACCGGTTTAATGTTACATAATTATATTCTGGTATAATCGATGATGTCCATTTAACTAGGTGGGTTTGAAATTCGGTGGGTAATTACTTATTTCCGCTTTGGGAGGGTTATTCCTCCATTATCTTAAGCGGTCATTCCCGCGTACGTTCACCCGACCGTCATCATGACGAGAATATATTTTTACTCCATTATACGAGTGAGTCACTTCGGTCTGCTCGGACCTAACGATTTTGCGGAGAACGATCGAGCGGTTACCTACCCTTCCTTTTAAGGACTCGTTAAGGAAAACCGTGCCCGTCCTGTTGTCTATGTAGAAGGGCAATGGCGGCTGCGTCTGCGGGATGTTGGCTCCGTTGTAGCTATGGATCAAGGGCTCCAATCCATAAGTCAATTCATCCTGTTCGTTGTCTTCTGCTCTAACTCTGGTGACGATGCTACCAACCGGTTCGGATTCCGGAAGCACCCAATTTCGTTCTAACCACATCACCGGTGGGGTGTTATCACTGAACTGGGCATCTGCAAAGACGGATTGGTCTTAGAACGAATACTTATGATGAGACCAGCATGATAATGATCGAATCGTTACGAATAATCTGCACATTTTAATATTCATTTTTAGGATCGAATCGAGCGGATTATTAAGTTCCGGCTATCAAGCTATTGAAATAAAACCCTGGAGGAGATTTTCATACATCGTTGCATTCATGAAGAGGCACGTTGCAGTCATCGATCTTTCCCGATGATCAATGAGGGGCTCGATTCGGTACGTAAGCGCACGGTTCTTCGCTCGAGTTTTAATTATCCGGTAATTTGCAGGCAATAATTAGAGAGAGAGTCGTGCTCAGAGACGTCGGCGGTCCGAGAGATATCAGCCTTGATATGCATCTTCCTGGATTTCGAGATCAGATCGTCAAGTAGAGTGTGACCCGAAGCCGGCTTCGGGTTTAACCTTCGTTCAGCTGATCGCCGGTGGGACCAGGTATACCTTGAGGAAGCGTTTCGACCAAGAGCCTTTATTAAGCCATTAACGAGGAGATGCACGAGCGAGGATGGAATTACCGTGGAAAATATTTACGAGCGACGACCACTTGGCCGCAAACTCGATAGGAAAAAAGGGAACGAGTTCTCGAGAGACCTTGCAGATCATATCGAGCGATCGATGAATCGGGTGAACCTCTTCTTAACGACGGACTTCCTAAGCCCGTAACAAAGGAAACGGTATCCTGGTTCGTAGACTCGTTACGTGAAAGTCGGGAAAATCTGCTCGTTAATTAACGAATTTATGCCATTCATCGTCTGGTGAAATTTCGCAATCTCGACAGGATCAAGTGCGCCGAACGAAACGCGCGAAATATCAGAGGCGGAGTTTGAAGAAAATGCGAAAGTTAATTTTCTGGGACTGCAAGGAAGAAGGCTGATGTTAACTCGCCGCCACGGCTCGTTGCTGAAAATCATTGCGAATTAGAGTGCGAAACCGAGTACACCAGGTAACACCGTAACGAGGAAATTCGTAACGTTCCTGCCGGTTGTTGTGTGATTTTTTTTAAATTGATACATAGGACGTAAGCCCGTTAACACTAGGAAAATAGTTAGCTAGTCAGGAACGCCGAAGAATTGGAAAGCAGTATTTTAATTCCAGGAATCTTCCGGCATGACTGCAGCCGCACGATTCCTGGACAGTACACAAACGGATCGACCGATGCTTGGAAGAGAAGTTCGCAATCTAAGCTTCCGAAAGACGTAGAAACGAGGAACTAGGCTCTTTCGAATGCAACGAGACTCGCGGGCTCGCACAACTGGGCTAATTAATCTGTCCTGCATTTATATCGTTATTATTGCAATTAGCGAAAAAGAAAATGTTTACGAGCGGCGAATGCACCTCCCAAGAGGCATTCAGACAGTCGACATATGTCTGAACGTTTCATGGCTCCCGAGCATTTCTGCGCAACCGATTTTACGACTATTTAAGTAAATCCCATTTCATCAAGCGGATCCATTTCAGAGAAATTTCTCTCCGTCGAGACGCTCGAGTGGCGCTCGTTCCTTTCCATCCGAGGAAGCACGTGAACTCTGCCAAATGATCTGGCAACGGAAGTGACATTTCGGAAGTGGGGGCCGAATTTTGGATTTCAAGATATCGTAAGGGCATGGAACCATGTTCTAATGCCATGGCTCGCTGACAACAGCCAAGAAGAATTGGAGTGTGAAGCTGGAGAACGGGATGGCCAGCGTTACGAAGGGGAATTCATGACTTTCTCGAGCTCGCGAAAACCTGCAAATGCCCTCGCCGACTGGAAATCTTCCGGACCATCGCCTGGAGCATTCGATAAATTTCGTGGGGAGGAGAGAAAGTTGGCGACATTTTTTGAATACGCCTCTGCGACACGAGGACAATCACGAGAGTGCGTGGCCTTACGTAGGTGCAAAATTCCCATCGACTCTTAAACTCTCCTGCAATAACAAGCGCCTCTTCCGAATTTATTTCCCTCGAGTTCAGATATTGGATAGCCTGAAATGAACTTTCTTACTTTCCCCCCTCACGGAGTGGAATTAATAACTTCGGCGAAACTCCCAGAAAATGCGCTGATAACATTTTTATTCGTTCATGAGACGTGTACCGGAAGTCTTATTCGGGTACGATACCGTACATTATTAATACACTCGTAGATATGTTTAACATACATGCAGTTTAATTTTGTAAGCTGGTTTAAAAAATCTGAGATATAGTAATAAAATTCGAAACTCGTTCGTACATTTACAAATGGGCTGATTTAAATCGTCAAAATTTTATATAACTTCTTGTATATGAATTGTAGGAGATTTAGAAACATTTTTAACAGTCAGACGTTCACTGAGATATCTATTAGTCAACCACGTGTACAAGCAGTTTGGATGCTGAGGAGGGTCCTCAAGGACTTCTCTGAAATTTTGAATATTCAAGTGATTACTTTGACGCGTTCGATGACAAGACGTCGCGTTTTTAAGTACTTGCGTATTCGAGGAAATCGGTGGATGTCCAAAATAAGAGATTCGGTCATTTCAGCTTCGTTTTTAGGAGAATTCTCATCTGCTGGGGAACGTTAGATTATTTATTTTAAGACGCATCGTCGAGTGAGATTTGGTTAACTCGTTTTAATTTATTCTCTGGAATCCATCGATCAGCTGATTAAGCATTTTGTCGTGCGCGCAATTTGAGTGGTGGTCGTAACTTCCTTTCTAAGCTCGGCATGAAAATCTCGTTGACTTCAATTCTCGAAGGTCGAAGTAGAATGTATCTAGAAAGACGTCGCGCAAGTAACGAGCCGAGAATTTATGCGATTCGAAAGTTATAACCACATTTAACAATTTCCAGATTTTCTCGGTCGCGTGGAAGATGAAGAGAGCCGAAGTGCCGGGTTTGCATGAGAAAACTCATCAGTGGCTTCTGGAAGGTCGTTTAACCACCGGTCAATTTAGCAGGACGTTTTACAAGTATCTAACTTTCGAGATAAATGAAGGACAGACGAAGACATTAGTCGGAGAGGCGTCGAAGCCCACTTTTCGTCACGGAAATCTATGAAAGAATTTTATCAGAGTCTGACAAATATTTTAAAAATATCTTTTTTACACAAATTAAAACATTGATAGCTCGGCGTACCTTGCGATAGGAGCCGACAGTATTAAAAAATTTACATCTTCCCTATTTTATAATTTACAGATATCCCCTGCTGTGAATCCCGTTCAGCGAATTGGCCACAAAAAAAGGGCGAAGGCCGGTTAAATATTGCAATTGATGGGTTGTCCGGTTTTGCATGTGAAAACCCATGTTACCAACGATTTTACAAAGAACCTTGCGATGCTCCGAGGGAACACTGTTCCAGCATGGAGAAAGTGGGACGATGAAAGTGCGACCAAACGACCGAGCGCTGTCTCGCGACTGCTTGCTCACGAACGATGGCTCTTTCCCCGTCGCCATGCAAATGCACGATATTCAAAGAAAAGGGGACATTGCGGATGGAATCAAGAAATAAAATCGCCAGAACCACTTCCTGAGATAAAGCCTTCTATTACAGATATTTCCAATAAAATAACGTAAACAGAAAGATACATAAGTGAAGTGTATTATATTTTGTGTTTCAATGGGAGATATACATATTATATATGTTTAGAATAAGAATAGTTTGACGTGATCAAAAATTAAAATAAAAATTGGAGGAATTTGTTAAATAAATATCGTGAAGTTCAAAAACGTTTGGACATGGAGGTCAATTTGAAGAACACCTCGAAATTTAAAAACAATTAGTATAGACCTTTGTTAGCTATGTTAACGGGAGAATGTAAAATCAACATATATGTGACAAAACATTGGGAAAGAATTCTTTCGGGGTCTCTTACCCAGGAGATATTCGACTTCGTCACCCGAGCTAACGTTTATCGTCAGATTTGCATTTCTTTTACGAGTCCCCAGAAAATGGTCACTTATTATTCAATAGACGTCGCAAGACTGTATAGACGCTTCTGACATAATTTGCAAAGCGGCAACTAACTCTGTTCACCATTCTGCGTGGGAAATATTTCGCATCATTTTCTTCTGATTTGTGTCCATTTAAATATCATGTCGTAAATGTTTATTAAGGAATAGTGACTGAAATCGTGAAATTAGTGCCCAAACCTGTATCGGTAAATTTGGATAATTATCAATCAACGGTGTAGGAATTAAATTTCTTCGGGGATATAAAAATTCTTCCTACTTAGAATGCGTACCAGAACTTATCCTCGAGGCTAACTTTCTCCTGTATACTCGTAGTTTGACAATTTATCCCCGATATTTGGCCGTTGGACTTCCTTATTAAAATGTGTGTGTATCTTTTAATGAGACATCTCCGATTTGCAAGGGGATAATTCGCCGATTCATGTCGCTCATTGCTCGAGGCGTCAGCGTGCAACATTGCAAGATGACCTGACCAAATTTAGAAGCACTTTCAAATCCTGGTTGCACAACGAAGAAAGTCCACGGCAGGTTCAACGAACGCTCGCCGTTTGGAAATCACGGCCTCGAGTAGGAAAAGTTCGTCCTTACGAAGTTACCCGGTGAAGAAATTAAAATACACCGTCGGTTTTCCCGATCGCGATCGAAGCCTTCCATATTGAGACACCACGAGCCTGTTCAAGTGTCTCAACACAATTTCCTCGAGCCTCATTTCGACATGGCATACAGAATGTGAGCAGAGTCGTGATGCCTCCAAATGATGCACCATTAAAAAAAAACCCAAAAAATGAAATTTTACAACATTCTTTACAAATTCCATTCCATGGTATACCTATTTTGTAGCGTTTTACTTATACATTTTCTATAAACATATGTTAAGCCTCCGGTACATAAGTACATTAATTTCCCCACAGAATTTTCTAAACTTACTACAGGATGCTCTAGGATAATAAATTTATTTAGAGATTCATACCAAATTCAAGACATGGGACTTATAATTCTGCAATGACCAAAGTGTACGATGTACGAATTTTATGGATTTCATAATACCGAGAGCGCAGGAATTTTATGAATATTTTTAATAGGGTGCTGCAGACCGCCGAATAATGATTTAATTATTTTCCAGACAGTAATGTTACTTCGGGGAGTCGACTGGATAAATGATATCTATGAAGAATGATTAATTATTAATAATTGTGGGAAGGGGAACGCCTATCCCGGATTCTTTTCTGCCTTTGTTGGGCGAGGGCCATCTTCAAAGATGAGAGGAGTCTGGTGCCTACCAAAGTCCACCTTTAAAAAAGAAAACACGGCCGAGCAAGGAACCACCGAAAAACTCGTCGTGTCAAGGCCGTGACGTCATTGAAAAACCGTCCAAATGATTTCCGGGAACGTGTTCGACTCGGTTCACTACCATGGAGCGATTCGAAGTCGACTTTTCGTCTTGGCTTAGGCTCGGCCAGACGAACCTCAGAACCGGCTACTTTCACTCGGTGGTCGGTGAAGGTTCTTAAATATTCTCGCCCGTAAAGTCGCCCCTCTCTTTGGTATCCCGTTCTCGTTTGATTTTATTTTTCCCGGAATCGAGACGGATTTCCCTTTCCTCTTTTCATTCAGCTGCGCCGCCCGGCTGACGAAAGCACTCCATCAACCTCGAGAAAGAATTTAACGAAAGAAATATATCGTTACTCCGTAGAATAATCATTTGACACGAATGAACAATAATAAATGGTAATAATTCGAAAGAAACGTTGCATCGAATTTATTAGGGTCAGGTAATAACTCTTTGACTTAATAAAATATTTCTTCAATTCAGTGAGATTTCGCCGACAAAGACTGATACCAGAATGAAGATTAAATAAAATCAGACCTCCTTCTCTAAATATTCCGCGTTTTATTCGAAATCGTAGATCCCCTGGGAGAAATTTTCTCGAGGCATGTCACGCGAGAAGAGTGAGAGGTTCGGTGAAACGATTGTGACATTATTGCTATCATAAATGCCAAGCGATATAAGGTGAGGAAATGATTAAATCGCCCCTCCGAAAGACACGTTTCCTGCTCTTCGAGACATTTCTCGTGAAATTACAGCCTGTGTCATTCATTACAGGGAATCCTGCCAACCGTGAAAGCAAGAACCAAGGACCTTCCTTTCCTGATCCCACTCGAGACTTGATCGGCACATCAAAGAGAATCGCCGCGATCGAAGATCTGCTCGTAATATTTAAGCATCCTGCGTGGAAGAAAAAGACCTTCGATGCCTGGAGCCATAACGAAGAGGATGAAGGAAACAGCTTAGATTAGATTTTCCTTCTGCTTTCCTTTATTTCGCCTTTTTATCTATACTTTCAGAGCCGAGGCAGTAACTCTTCCTAATCCTATTAGTTGTTAAAAGCCGACGTGTGCTACTTCGAGGACGCACCGTGCAGTCGGTCTTGCGACATCGCATCCTAGAATCGTTAAGTTCGAGCTCTATCCTCTTTAGATGGACGTTGTAGGATAACAGAGGTCCTGTCTAGGAAAGTACGCGGGAATACGACGCCGACAAGGGTTGCTATCTCGAAGGACTCTGCAATAAGTGGAATATTTTCTCCCGGATGTCTTCTGGCATTCCCGACTGCCTGGTAAACATGTCCGATGTTGGTTAATGCGCATATGAGCCAATCGCTGATAAGAAACCCCTTCTAACTTTTCTGTACATGTTTCTACATTTATTGCATTTTCAGTACACAAAGATACCCTGAAATTACACATTACAATGACGATTTAAATTATACTTGTGAATTTATGAACAAATTAGGAATTTTACCCCAATTTATCGGACATTCTTTTACATGGCACATTGAGCACATCTACAATTGTTTCATTATAAACTTGATACGCCATATCTAGATGACACCTACAATACATGTCACGTGAATTGATTACATTAGTTTTTATAATGTAACTATCATAGACGTTTAGTGGCTTTCATGAATATTTAAGTCTACGAAATGGGGGATTTTTTATTATTAAGAAGTATTAGGGCACGTTCAATCATAGCATCAAATATACATAATTGTTAAGTGCACTCGAGTTACTTAGTTCTAAGTTGGAGAGTTAGGCTTACCAAAAGAAAAAAAAAGAATTAAAAGAAAAAAGCGGCAGCTTTTACCAGCGAAACGGGTTACAGGTACTTCCTATTAGCTGCAGTTACTTGAGAAACTAGCAAAGTCTATCTACAGTGTCATTTATACGTATCTGCAGCCATGAGGCAGCAAATCTAGCAAAATAGATTAAAATCACAATCCGAAATACGAATTTAGTAATATTTCCGCGACTTGAGGCTTCGAATAAAATCCTCAAAATATCATCTAAGGAGTTTTCCAAATTTATTTGATACGGACTTCGCGCGAATACGAATTTAGCAATATTTCTTTCAAGATTTCAGGCCATACTCTCCGGATGCAATCTTCAAAAGGTTACCGAAGATAATTTATGCAACATTAACTGCAGTCGGAGACGCCCTGGGACTCAAAGGCCATGAACTTATTCGAGGTTATCACGAAAGTCGGCTCCCTAGAAGATAGGCATCGTTTTTTGTTAAGTGTCTGGTGACCCGGTTATACGTACAACTCCTGAGCGTTAATTCCCATCGCGTTTCCGATCCCGATTCTTCTCGTCTGCCTCTTCCTCTCCCCTTAATCAGCCCTGACGTTAAACATGGTCGTGAGGATGTAACCGGTAATCGTTACGGGCTGCCTGAAATATGCATTCCGGGAACGAATTTACCGCGACAATGAGATTAGGTACTATGCTCGCGTTAAAAGATTTCCCCTGCTCGGGGAGCAGGATGAGGTTGTCAGGTGAAACAGCAAAAAATGCCTTACCGTTAGCGTTTCGTGGTACCGTGCTAATTTGGCGATACGTTACACGTAATTAGAAGCATTGTTAGATTTACCGACAATAGCGGCACCGTACGGATACATCAAGTTACGCTCGATGAGACGACACGTTTGCAGAAAATCCCAACAATTAACCATATACAAGAATTATGTTACTTTAATTTCGAATATACCCATGATATCGGCCATCACGGGAATATTATCGAATAATGAATTGCTTCCTACAGAAAAAATATAGCTATTAATTCGTACGTAAAGGGTGACCCTTTCTCTTATAACTCTCAAATAGCGTGGTTGATGTTAAAACATTAATTGCTTCTCGTGAAAAAGCGCAGTTAATAATTTTCGTGTAAACGGTGGCGCTTTCTATTACAGCATTGAACTCACCGGGAATAACGTAGTTAACCTTTGATAATTAATTATTTCTTGTAAAAAAGCGCAGTTAATTTTTTTATAAAGGGTGACGTTGTCTATGGCAGCATTGAACTCACCAAAGCCTCTGAGGAGACACGCCGTCGTCGCTAACACGATCCACACGGGCAACATCGCGCTGCATCGACCAACGTTTATCCTTGGTAAACTTCCCCCAGACTCTAACAATCCACCCAACAGGCCTCGGTAGTCGATCTGGATTTAATTCGCGCCCTGGTTCATCCTTTGGCAGAACTACAATAGACTATCCCCGTGGAGAACTCTTCACCGGGACGCCTGGAACTTCCGATTCGATGGCTTCCCCAGGAAGAGGAAGCGGTCAAAGGGGCACCCCAAATTTCAGGATCTCCGGAAGTGGAACTGTTCTTTTTAGAATTTCATGGCGAGTTTCGAGCACCGTAGAACGGATTCCATCGCCATTCCATGCGCGTACGCACTTCGCCCTCGTGCCACTTCACCTGACTTTACTCGTGTTTTATGCACGTCGACACGATTCCGCGATCGGCGCACTTTCGAAGCTCGAAAATTCCACTCCTCGATCCCTGCCCTCGAAAATCACCGTACGATGCACCTCTCCCGAACATTTGCATCTATTCTGGATTCCTGCGTCCGAATCCTTCGACTCACTTCGCCCGCACAAACTTGAAGAGAACTACAGCTGCGAGAAGACGCGAACTTCCTTAGCCTATATTTTTAACTGTATCACCAATTTGCAATTGTGAATCTGTAGTGATTGCTTCTGGATTCATTTATCTTCCTCGAGCTTTAAATTTGAAAATATTAACAGCGTTCAGATTTCTAGGTTTACACGACTCGTCGGAACTGTTTATACTCAGCTCTGGAATTCAAGTACGGGGGATTTTCTTCGCGTCACGATGTTTGAAAAAAAAGATGGCTCCCACAGATACATCAGCCAACGATTGTCCATCTGATTTGGTCATTAATGATAACTCCTTTAATTAAAACCCTTGTTTTTATTATTCTTCCCCACAGACGTCGCCAGACACGATGGATATTTCCCAGACCGATGGACGATCCAGCTGCAAATCACTCTCCCGAATGGTTCTACGCCCGAGCAATATATTGCCAAAGTATTATCAACTTCCGCTCAACATCCGTGTCTTCAAATAAAAACTCCCCTCGCTCTTTTTCGCCAGAGTCAGGTTTTCCAAAAATACCGCCGAATCCTGGATTCAAATTTGTACTGCTCCCCAAATTCGGCGAAACTCCTTTCACTCTAAAATTCTAGTTGCGCGCTCAATGTCAATTTCCTCGGCGTATCATAATTCCGGTTAAATCACATTAAACAACGAAGTATCGGGATTAATTGTATCCTTGTTCACAGGTTCGTTGAAGTCGTAAATAAAAAACGAGACAAGTGCAGTCAGCCGTAGATCTTGCCGCCCGCGACCTGTCCTGGTCTAGCCCGCGCATTGAAGTCTCCGATGGCAGACATGTCTTCAACGTCGCTGAGGACTCCTCGGGCTCGAGGTCGACGGCGATCCTGGCGAGCCTCTCCTTCGGGACGCGATAATATTTCCGGAGCACGTCGCACCTGTACGGGCGCGTCGACGATTGTCGACGGTCTGACACGGTCTGACAGCGGCTAACTTTTCCGCCATGACAGCAATGGCCGCTCCGACCTCGGAGAACGTTCACTTTCCGTTGATACCGCGTTCGCCGGGGTAAAGCCGCGTCGCCATTGGTCGACGCGGATCCAGCGTCGAGATCAAAACCTAAAAAAGTTCCACCACATGAATACGCAGCAAATAAACATAATATGGATACTGCGGTACAGTAAATGCGCAATCGGTTACTTTATGCCTGCCTTTGTTACCTTTTTTAAGAAACACGATATGTATTATACATGAGTTAAGATCCGCCATTTATAAAAGCAGAAGACACCGCGAGTCCGCCGGGTATTTCATTGACTCTTCGTACCGGTACATTCCACGCACAGGTATATTAATAAGCTCTGTAGTCAATGAACTCTGACGCAATCTATGATTTCCGAGTAATACATCAAGTCTTGACTTCAGGGACGTCACGGTAAACGTTAGATAATTTATGCAGTTCGTTGATGAATCTTCGCGGGATAGAGGCTGCCCTTCGATTGTAATTCCTTGCGATTTATGGTGTCGATTAAATATCCATTCTGGGATGATTAGTGGCCCAACGGTAAAACAGTCGCAGCTCTGTAGAGGGTTTGAGTTTACAAATGTTTAATCGATATTAAATACTGTCGATAAGGGTGGGGTAAGCAGGTAAAAGAGAAAGGTGGAGGAGAAATGCCGTGATGCTAGAGTGGTGGCGCCATCTTGTAGCTCGAGGGCTTACCATTCGGCGTCTTCCCTTCAAACCTATTCGGAAATGATTTACCATACGCAACCAGCAATTCTCTCAGTCGATATCATCGCTCTGTTATACAACAATGGACGGTAAGGAATCAATTATCTCCGCCAATGACGGCGACTGGTAGAGGGCACCGCCATCGCGAGTGCGCGAGCCCCTACCAGAAATTCGTTGCGCCGTCCTTGGGGGCAAAAAACGGTGAAAGCTAACATACAAAACCAGAGGGCAGCACAGAATGCGATCGTGCGACCCTGCCCGTAAACAATCTCCCAACTCATCTCTGAACATGGGACATTGTTTTGCTTCTCCGCAATGGGCCATAGAAGATTAAAAATTTCGGTAATAATCATTAAACTAAAAGTTGAGTATCTGTCGATATCTACATGTCCGAGGCATCGCTAGATCCTAAGCGTGCATATACAACTTTTTATAACATCCTATACGCAGTCCCGATATATTATAACAATTTAAAACATAGAAATTGAAAGTCTGCCCAAGAAATCGTTCACCACTTATTGTTAATAGCGCATTATACTAATCATCTTTATATTCTTTGAGAAGATGGGAACTCCTGTAGTCGCGCCAGAAGCTGGGGACGCTTCAGCGAGTATGTTGCCGTCGAGGAAGAGGCATCCTGAAGTTTTGAACATGAAAAACCATGACATGTATTATCAAAGGATCTCGTCTCCTCGCTGTCCATTGATAAACCTTTCGAACGGTGCTTCGGTCAGCATCCTTAATGAGACCCTCTACAATGATGTGACCTTGATCGAGAACGGCGTCCTCGAGAAGTTGAGCAATCCTGCAAGTGTGTCAGGGGACAGCTATGGATTTCCTTATTACAGGTTCGCCCCATAAAAACCCACTTTCTTCCTCGTGGACCACTTTTGTATTATAAATCATCGCAAAGTTAGAGATGCATCGAAGCATGAGGGCATTGGTGCATCGCGAAGCATCCGAGGATCGATGCATTAAGTCCCATAAAGAGACATTTCAGGGCCGGTTAACGAATGACCTTATAATTGCAGGAGCGATAGGAGGAACAGGCAATGTCAGGATGCAGTCCTAGTGAAAGACGTCGGAGTATCTTGCACTATTCTGCAACCAGAGAATGAAAGTCTTTCGGGTTCACATGTCAAGGGAAAGATGAGTGTGGAGGCTTACCTGTCGAACGACTTTGAGGTGACTTACAGTTCTTTTTTTGTACTTCTTTAAAAGGATGGACGTATATGTACAACTTTGTTCATTATTCTGCAGAGGAACAAAAACTCTGGGACGGCAAAAAGTCCGAAACGGGAAAGCTTAGAGGGATATCTGCTGAACCAGTTGAAGATGGAGTACAGTGACTTGTCCGCCATTACCAGGAAAATCAGCGCGTACACCAAGGATATCTTACAGAGTTTGTCGTCCAGTAGCAAGAGGAAAATCTCAGCCGAGAGTACAGTAAGATTAGCAGAATTTTGTTATGATAACTTGATTCATACTTTTTTTCGTTAATTGTTTATTTACTGTTATTCGTTAAGCCATTAGTTTTGTGACAGGATAGTTCGAAGGAACCGGTGGCGGAGCAATATACCGATGAGTCGGGAAATCCTTGCCTAAAATTAAGATTGAAGGATTCAGCCTGCACACCGACGAGAAAAACTGTTTCCGATAATCTTTCTACGACTCCATCCTCACGGTGCCACCAATTAAAGAAACCTGCCTCGAGTAAATTACTTTTACGAATAAATATTGTTATGTATAAGTAACCGTTTTGGTATGTTTAGAGGGAATTCTTGAAGCTGTAGACGACCCGACACATCAGACACCAGTTCAGCAAGAAAAAGAAGCGGAACAAATTTTTCCGAAGAATTCTGCACAATTAGATGTCGAGTCTTCGATCTGCAGCAGTTCGTCGATTTACAATTATTTAATGATGGGGAAGAAACGATCTTCAATGAAAAAACGGAGACAATCGGCCCCGAATTGCCTCAATCTTAAAGAAAAGTCAAGTGAACGTCATCCTAAAAAACATAGTCTTGATTATGTCAACGACCGTGAGGCCTTTCGAGTAAACGACCTGACATACTCCAAAACCGTCCATTCTGCAAACAAGAATTTCCAAGCTATTCCAGACTTTCAAGCAGAATACTTATACGTGGTTAGTATTCCTTAAAAGCCTCGGATTAAATATTAACAAGTGTTTCTTCTCCAACCTATTAATTCCGTTTATCTCGAAGGAGCAAAAAAAGAACGTGTACCGAAACGGAAAAGAGCATCATCAAAGAAGGCAAAATGAAGACAAGTTACATTACTTCACGGAAATTTCAAGGAAATGCTCTCCCGCAAGTTTTCATACCGTTAACATCCGAATTGTAAGACACAAACACAAGGATCAGTAAACTGTCCTGTCACAATAAATATATAAAATTATCAGACGCTCCTTTGCGAAACTTCCGTTACTTTAAAAGAAGCCGCCAGTCTCCAGCGACTTGGTCGGTAACTTCTGCTGATCAGGAACGCGAACTGTTATAAATAATAAAGTAATGCGAGATTTACACACTCGATTGGTAACTAAAATGATACCAGGAGTCCCGGAAACATGAAACCCCACTCGTTATCACTCGTCCTCGAAGATGGCGCCACCACTCCAGCGTAGAAAACTCCCCTAATGCGGGGTACGAAATGATGCGCAATTGGGAGAGCAACCCCAATGTCCTTGGATTCTCACTTCTGCTCCCCTTTTGCCACACAAAGGAGGCAGCCCAATATGAATCACAAGGGTTTTACCGGTAACGCTTCGTTTCATGGCCGCTTCTTGAAATTCGATACGCCCGAACATACTAGGCATATTCTTCAGCGCCCCTAATCACTAATCCAACTAGCTCCACGTTTCAAATTTCCCTCTCTTACTGAACAGAAACAAATCTCTGAAACAATTTTACCGGCATTAAGAAATACACAGAACTGTAGATCGTTGTTTTGTTTATAAAATTTAAAGATACCTGCCTCTTAACATCGATATTAGGCCTACGTTGCTGCATTCAATGGGGATATTAGTGTCCCGTTGATTTTTGAAAAATGAGTACCTAACGACCGTAAATTATATGTCCTGTCCGTTTTCAGGAAAACAAGAGGAGAAATCGGCAGCTGGCAAACTGGAATTTGCGGTCTCTTCGGGCCGAATCTAGTTTGGGCCAAGGTGGCTCATGTTTTCGAAACGTTGTGATTATAATAATAGCATAACATTACACCAGTCGAGACAGATCGATGCGTCCTTTGCAGGGTGCAGGCATCGATGTCTCCGAGTCAAAGGGAACCTCTTCCGATTTTTCCTGCCCCGAAACGGAGGAAATCTTCCCCACGAATTTTCCCTGCTCTCCGGGGAATGACACGCAGACCTTCGCAAGAGACCCAACTCATGGCATAGAGAAGAAATATGCAAAGCCAGATGTAAATCGGTATCCCCTACTGCATCTGATTGACCAGCGATCTCATTGATATGCGTCACTTTAAGATAAGCCCATGCTACGCGCACCGAGCATATAACCGTTCCTGATTTCACTACGGCATGCTGTGTGCCTAAAAGCGTACCTTTTCTTGCATTTAGAGAGAACGCCATCTTCCAATTAACAACATAGTATAATTAGACACTACCGAGAAGAAAAATATGAAAACAGGAAAAATTGTACCTCATGCATAGCATGATCGCTAAGAACCGAAAACCACTTCATCCGTGCATAGGTATCTCAAAGAGCAGTCCACCTTCCTGTTTACGTAAATTGTATCATGCTCCACTTTACGTATTCCGATGCGAGTCAAGTGTCCGATAGTCGAGAGCACTTGGCGCGTTGGTCGTAAAGGAAGGAAGTCTCAGTTTTGGTATGCTAAGGAAAAAATCGTGAAACGGTATCATCGGATCGAAAGACCGATCCCGCTACACCTCTTCGAGGTGCATACCTTAGTTTTCGAATCTTACCGGATGAACGCTTACCGCATCCAAGAGTTCCGGAACAAAGAGGAAGACCGCGATAAAGGGATTCCTCGGGGGCTTCACCCCCTGGAGGGAGGTGCAAACTTCTTTCTTCCAGGAGCGGTCGTTTCCCACGTGGGTACATATCTAGAGTAGGGCGAGAAACCGCGCAAGTGGGGTTAATAAAGCGATGCCCGCGGGAAAAGGGCGACCAGAAAATATGTAAATGTCGACATACCTGAGTCTCGGGATCTCCCTCGCCGACACATCCGGATTGTCCCTGGTTTTCGAGAGCAGTTTTTCTGAGGGCCGCCGAATGGCCGGCCGAGCAGCTGGGTAGAGTAAGATAGGGATTCGTTTCTTTCAGCGAATTTATTGTTTAGCATATGAATGGGCCGCGTATGCACGGTGAACCCTTTGGCATATTATAAAGAATTGAATAAAGTTTATAAGGAAGCCAAAACCAGTCCGCGGAGGGCATGCATATACGTATACCTATGTACATTTACGCATGTATACCCACGTACATACGCGAGAGCGCTCGCCGGAGAAGCCAGGTGTTTTATTCCGAACCGTGGGACTCTTTAAGGGGATGCTCGCGCGAGTCACACGCGCGCACCCCGAGTGCACGCACGTGCGCCCGCGGCCACGCACACGCCTCCCCCGGATGAATGGAAAACTGGATTTATACTCCCAGGGGAGGGGACCTACTACTTTTATTGTGTTTCCCCGGCGGATCGAACGTAACGCGCTACTCTTTTCTGATCAGGTCCCGTTTTCCTAGCGCCCGACCAAGGCGAATTAAAACCGGCGCGCACAATGCCGTAGGGGACAAAGAGTATACTCTATCTAAAATCCATTTTTCCCTCCACGGCGTACCGGTCCTTACCGCCCGGGAAACCAGAACCGAGGCTGCGGCGACGCCGCGAGGCCCGCGACAAAGGGGGCCTCCTCCTCGCGCGATATACGCCTTCCCCTTCAACGGTCTCCCGGAGCGGTTGAAGCCGATACACCCGAGGTCTCACGCATTATTTAGCGCGTACGTTACCGAATCACCTGGAGGAATCCACCGGATCCTTGGTCCCCGGAGGCGGTGCGGCGACGGAGCGGGCCAAGTGCGCCGCGGCTTCTCCCACGGCCACCTGGGACGAGACAAAGCGCCCACTGGACCGAGCGAGATTCGATAAGCGACGCCATTTGCCGAGCGGCCCGACCGGGGAAGAGATTGTTATTTAATTTTTACCGTCAGCTGCACCCCTCGCTTGTTTATTTTTCGCACTTCCCCCGCTACCTAGTGCCGGTTTCGCGCACAGGAAACAGCTGGAAACGCCGCGCGACGCCCATTGGCTGACCTTCGTCACGTGACCAACATGGCGCCCGAAACCGGGTCACGTGATTCGAATCACTCAACCGGGCCGCTTTTCCTCCTGCCACGGCCAGCTGTTTGCCACGCAATAACCGATATCCCGTAACGTACGGCGTAATCTACGCAGTCTTTACCTTCCTTTTTTTCCTCTCTTTCTTTCTCCAAAACGAGTCTTTCCGGACCCCCGACAATCGGAGCGGGGCATTTCGCTTCCCTCGATTATGCCATCCGACGCGGCGCTGAAAGATGCGCCAGGGAGAAATTTGTCACTTGAAATGAAAAAGGGTAATTTAAAGGTGCCGAGGGGCGAGCTATGGTTAAGTAAGATCGAGAGGAAGAATTTTAAGCGAGTTCTTCAGGGCAGTTATTCCTGATTGACCCGTTTTTTTTTCCTGAAATTGACCGTGAAATATAAAAATAGGGCTCGCTCGTTTCGGCAAGATGGCGGCCGGCGTCCAATATATGAGCGGGAGACAAATGAGCCCGTCGTTCTTTCTTCCCCATCCAATTATTTACTTAAGATGACTACGCGCGTAATGATTAATCTGGGCAATCCGCTTTGTACAGATTTAACCGACACGTGGATGACGCGTCGATTAAATTGAATTAATGAACGATAACTCAATTTAACTGCAGATTACAAATCCCTGGCGGCTTATCTCTCGTGCGAACACTTTTGTGCATCAATAAACGGAGTTATTACTTCCTCCCGTGTTTAATTACTTTTCATGCGTCCGTTTATGATCGATACTTCCCTTCCATCGAAAAACTAGCGGCATAAATTCGTACGAGATGGAAACACGTTACCCTTACGCGTTCAAACATTTTTCTTCCACTCGTGCGTTCACCTCCAGATGTTGCCCAACATTACACGAATGTTTTCCACGACCCTTTAAATGGGCATCTAAGTTGCCTTTATTTTTAGCCGCGTCCAGGCCTGGAAAAGCAACACTCGGAATGAACGCAGGAGAGATTAACGCCTAAACGCACGTGGCGATCTACCAGGACACGTTTCCGAATTTCTTTTTAAATTTTTTATTTTTTTCCCGAGCGTACTCCTAGGTCGGATTCATTCTTCGGGCAATGCAGAACATATTGGTGCTTTCCAGGTATCACGACATAGATTGGAATTCTGCCTAGCACCGTTAGATTCGAATTTCAGCATGCTTATGAGAAAATGCGGTCCGGCGACTCGGAAAGCCCCTGCTCGGCCACACGCTACTCTCGAGTGCGTCTTCTCTGTTTTCAAGGAACTCGAATTTCAAAGAAAAAAAGAAAAAGGAACAAAGGCGCCGCTGCCCCGTAAACGAGGAATTTCTTGGCTTAAACTCGGTTGGGACTCCGTGACTCAATTTCTCTCGCGACGAACGTTCGGCGTCCAAATACATCTTGCGAACGTTCAGTGAATTTCGATACCACGAGTCAAAAGTAAGTGCTTTAATTTGTATCGTTTCTAAATATCGAGAGCAGCCCTGAAAAAGCTTAACGATGAAGATATGAAGCACTTACCAAAAATCTGCAGAAGGGGGACTGTGCTTTCCATAAGCCGGAAATCCAAGATGGCGGACAGTCCTTGTGGAACATGGGTACCCTCTATAATCGAAACATTTTGCAAGAACAAAGTCCATTTATATCTTGTTTATGTAAGAATCGAGGCCTTTACAGTCAGCCCGATACCTGATATTCTGTCCGAAGAAAAAAAAATGAAGGACAAGGTATACACGAGTACGGACAAAACGGACCTTAAAGTAGCGGGTCTGGCCAACACCGAGGCTCAATCGGAGCCGAAAATCCCGGACTTCGGTCCCCTTTATCACGGTCCAGCAGCCACGTAAACTTCGTACATCTGCGGAATTAATAGGTTTCGAGAAACGAGCGCACGAGGCCTAGGTATACGACTTAGGGCCGTAGAAAAGGAGTCCCGAGGCGGGGTCTTCAGAGGTTTTTCGGGGGCCTCCTCGGCCCCCAAATACGAGGCACCGCGCAGGTGGACGAAGAACGGCTCCCAGAAGACTTTCGAGCGAGTCAAGCAGGCCGGGACGAGTGCAATTTGGTGGACCATCACAAATAGTGCCCACATCCCCGCCTGCCGGA